CACTCCCCAGGGACCCCCCCCCCCATCCTGATGCCACAGCCATGGAGCAGCCCCAAGAGTCAGCTCTGAGCCGGGGACCTGGAAAAGGGTCAGAATGGGGGTCCAAGGTACCTGTCCTTCCCTGTCTCCCCACGAAACAGGTCATCAAACTGCTTCATGCGGCCAGGGGAGACCACGTAGGCCGTCATGTTGGGGAAGGAGGCACTGACACGTTGGATGATCTTCAGGAGGCTCTTCTGCATCTTGGCAGGCGGCCCCCAGAAGATGAAGATGGTCTCTGGGGTCTTGTTGACGAACTCCTGGGGCCGCTTGAGGACGCGGTAGAGGCTGGAGTGGGCGACCACGCGGAAGCTGGTCTTGTTGCCCACGTCAGCCTCGTAGCCCGTGGTGGGAGCGTCGTTCATGCGGATGGTGCACTCGGCCCCATCGATGGCCGTGCCCAGGCGAGTGCCCAGGAGGTGGCTGGAGCTGGTAACAACGACACACTGGTGGCAGCGGGCAGTCAGGGTCTGGTGATGACAAACACCGTGAGGGGGTGACCTCTGCTGTCACCACAACCCAGCAGAGATGGACGGATGCAGGTGGGACAAGGCACTGCTATCCCTTTGCCATCCCTCCTACTGCCTCCCTGTCCCACCCGAGGGGACAATTTGTCTGGATGTCAGCAGAGAGACCAGATCCTCTCCCCACTGCCCAAGCCGGACCCCACCACCCAGCTCGTACCTTGTTGCCGCAGACGGGCAGGTACCCGCTTTTCACCCCCCACTTCTTGAGGTCGGGGGGCCGGCGGGCACTGCCCCGCAGGGGGCTGTAGGGGAAGACCTCGCTCCTGCTGCCGGAGCTGTAGATGATCAGCAACGTGATCAGGGCAAAGAGGACCCCCAGGGCGGCGGCGCGCTGGCTCTGCGGGCAGGGTGGGGAGAGCGTCAGCATCCGGCCCCGCTCCCGGCAGCAGCTCCAGCAGGATGTCCCCAGGGAGATGCCCCCTGTCCCCGGGGTGATGCCCCAGCACCCACCGTGCTGCCACTCATGTCTCCGCGCCGGGCTCAGCGATCGCCGGCGTCCTGTGAGCACCTGCAAGGCAGGAGGTCACCCCCAGCGCCAATCCCTGCCCCCCACGCTCGGGAAGAGGGTCCCCAGGTGCTGGCAGGGACATGGGGTGACCCACTGGGCAGCCCAGCTCAGTTGTGCCCATCTGGACCCACGGGTCCCCTTTCCAAAGGCAGGACAAACCCCCCCAGCACCGGTGCAGGGAAGGGAAAGGCCGTGGGCAGAGGCTGGGTGAGCTCTGTGATGCTGAGGAGCCAAACCTGACCCTGGCACATGCCGGGGAGATCCCCAGGGTGGGCTGAGATCCCAGGAGGGATTATCCCCTGCCAGAGGGGCTGAAACTGCTCAAACTCGCGGGGTCAGGGAGGATAAACCTGCCATTCACGCGGTGAAATCCCATTAAAACAACCGGCTCAGACTGGGGAGAGAGGAACCGAGACCTGCACGACTCAGCACATGCATGAGCTCAAACCCTGCTGCCCCAGGGCTGGGGCACGGGGGCTGCACCCTGGGGGGGACCTGCTCTGACCCCCACTCCCCCAGGCTGGCAGAGACGGACTCACCCAATTAATTTTTCAAAGTCCTGGTTAGCGAGTCCATTGGAAATGTAAAAGAAATTTGAAGCCTCTTTACTAATCACCCCAGGGCGGGGGGGGGGAGCGCGGAGAGAGGGTTTGTGG